CTTGGGGGAGGTTCTCTCTGGGTGGTGGCACCACCCTCTGGTCTATCACCTGATCCTCCCCCTCCCCACCACCCCCAAAACTTGCTGAGGGGCATCATCTGCCCCACCTTCCACATCCTACGAAGGTCTTCTGCTCTCCAGCCCTTGGAGATGGTCACGAGCCACCTGGTTGTGGTCCTCCATGGACCGGTTCTAGGTGGCCCTGCTTGAGATGACTCCCAGAGGTCCCACCCCCACCTCCACGGGGTGATCCCCAAACTTGCTGAGGGGCATCATCTGCCCCACCTTCCACATCCTACGAAGGTCTTCTGCTCTCCAGCCCTTGGAGATGGTCACGAGCCACCTGGTCGTGGTCCTCCATGGACCAGTTCCAGGTGGCCCTGCTCGAGGTGACTCCCAGAGGTCCCACCCCCACCTCCACAGGGCGATTTCTGAGGTTCCTTTGGGGGCTTCAGGAGAAGACATGGCCCCGTCCCACGGGTGACGTCCCTCTGTTGACCCCTGGGGACCCAGGTTGGGCCTGGTTGGATCCTCCCACCCCCCCCCAAACCTGCTGAGGGGCATCATCTGCCCCACCTTCCAGATCCTACCAAGGTCTTCTGCTCTCCAGCCCTTGGAGATGGTCCTGGTCCTCCATGGACCAGTTCCAGGTGGCCCTGCTCGAGGTGACTCCCAGAGGTCCCACCCCCACCTCCACGGGGCGATTTCTGAGGTTCCTTTGGGGGCTTCAGGAGAAGACATGGCCCTGTCCCACGGGTGACGTCCCTCTGTTGACCCTTGGGGACCCAGGTTGGGCCTGGTTGGGTTCCTTCAAGAAGGTCCACACGTGGTTGGTGGGCTCCGTAGAGTCGTGTCACTTCCTTGGGTGATGGCTTGATGCTGAAGGAGCTGCTTCGAGGTTTAGAAAAGGACCAAAAAGCCCCAAATCCCTCCCCAAAAAATTCCCCTTTTGCGTTGTCGGGTCCTCTCTTACTGGGAGAACTGGGAGGGGCAGCAGATGAAGGTGATGGAGACGTGATGGGGCCCCTTTGGTGGAGACCCCCTTGGCGGGCGGATTCCACGTCCGAGCAGCTGAAAATATCCAACTTTTCTCTAAATTTGGGGTCAAATTCACAAAATTAGACCTTTGTGAGGTGGGTTTGCCCTTTGGTAGATGTTCCGTCGTGGAAGGTCCAGGCTTTGGAAGGACCTTCCTCATCGTCTTTGCTCCTCGTCACCTTCATAGTTGCTTTGGAAGGAGAATTTCTTCTCTCTGGTTCTCATCCGCGCCTGAAACTCGCTAAAAATGGGGGAAATTCCCTCGATTTGCTTTTTGGTGGCCAAAAAAATCAACTTTGAGGTGTCTCTTCCTGCTTCTTCAGGGCAGGAGAAGACACGGGGTGAAGGGGGAGGGTTGATGACCCACCACCCAACGCTCGAATTTCTTTCGTTTCCACTTAACGGTGGAAATATCGATTATTGGAGGAGCTTCTCTGAGGACTTTGTGTTGGGTCAAGGAGACGTGGTGGCCCTCTGCCACCCCTGGGCCGTGGTGACATTTAGGTCCTTATGGAGCTTTATCGCTTTGTGTGAGCCCAAAGACCTCAAGGGTGGGTCCAAAAACCTCAAGGTTGGGCCCAAAGACCTCAAGGTTGGGCCCAAGCCTCAAAAGGTTGATCCAAAGACCTCGAGGTGGGCCCAAAGACCCCAAAAGTTGGCTCAAAGACCTCAAGGGTGGGCCTAAGACTCAAAAGGTTGACCCAAAGACCTCGAGGTTGGGCCCAAGACTCAAAAGGTTGATCCAAAGGCCTCGAGGTGGGCCTAAAGACCTCAAGGTTGGGCCAAAGACCTCAAGGTTGGGCCCAAGACTCAAGAGGTTGATCCAAAGGCCTCGAGGTGGGCCCAAAGACCTCAAGGTTGGGCCAAAGAGGGGGTGGGAGGAAGAGCCGGGGTTTCACGTGGACCTCTCCGATGTCTCCCCCAGGCTGAGAAGGTGAAACCAAAGCTGCTGTGAAGTCCTCAAGTGAAGGCAGAGGGATTCCCCGGGGCGGATCCAGCCGGCACCAGCATCCCAGCAAGGTCAGTGGGATGGAACTGGTTTCACCCCCCCCCCCCCCCCCCCCTGGCATTAAGGAGCATAAACACATTAAACTTTAAAAAGAAAAGGAACTGTGAAGATTGAAATAACTTTTAAT